AGTCTTAAAGAAAGAAGGACTTCAAATTTACAGGTGAACAGCAGTTATTCTGACCACCCTACTTCCCTCATCCATTCATGAAAATGCTTAAACCATTGTATATAGGAGGATCTAACAGAATTTATCTTGAAAAGTCATTAACACTCCTCAAAGGAATTCAAAGAAGGCAGAAAATAGAAGCAGATTTGAGAAATCACCTGTTCCCCAAGAAGCAGTTTTTCCAAAATTTCTGACTTAGTTTGCAGTGTGGTATAGGGCTTTGCTTTACATTTATTTGTGAGGGCCTGGTGCTTGCAGCCTATGGCAGTTCTGACCTGTTCATTCATTGAATCCCTAAGGTTAACACAGAGCATAAGGACAGGGCTGATGTTTCTTTGCTCAGTAATAAGAACCACAACATTATGCTTATAAAAAGTGAGAGTCTTGAGATAACTTCCTTCCAAATCCCCTGAAGCCTCATATAAAATGGTTCAGTTGTTAACCCTTAAACAAGTGCAGTATTTATTGACATTTTTGTGTTCCTTGCAATCTATATTCAAATCACAACAGCCAACACATCTAGCAGAGTAAAGAAAATGTCTAGTTCCTGTGTGTGGATTGTTACACAACCCAAACAGTTTTCTCTTTTGTGAAGGTTATTTAAAAACAAGGAGCAAGTAAGAAAAGAAAAAACACAAAGAAACTACAGGATATGATTCATAAAAGTCCCACGTCTCCTCTATATGTGCATACAGTCTTTGAAAAAATAAATAGAAGTTTTTGTTGTTTAGCAATGTTCCAGCAAGTAATACACATGCCAGAGAACAAGCAAGCTCAAAACAATAAGCTAAAATTAGAAGAGGCAGATTCAGCATCTGAAGTCACACTTACTTTATAATGTGAAGGCATCTGGAAGAAATATAGTCACATGGACAGTCTGGGTGCTGGCATAAAGACTGTAGCTCTGGAGATTCTTCCATCATCTACAAGCTCTGTGTGGATCATCAAACAACTCTTTTAATCCTATCTGTGAAAAGAGGCAACTGGCCTGCTTCTGTGGCTGTTGTGAGAATGAAACCCTGGCTGTTTACAAGGATCTTGGATTTTTGTGTTGAGTGCCACAGGAAGAAAAATATTTCTTCAAACCACTCAGTTTTAAAAAGTGCCCAAGAAGTAATTCACTTTGAGCCATTTTGCTATGCAAAGTAAGTCTATTTCTGTTGAAATGGAAGAGACAGAGAAAGACAAGGTGTACACTAGTACTGACCATTTGTCAGCACTTCAGTATTAACATCAATAACTTTTCTGATATATTTTTCTCCTAACTTAAAAACAATAAAGAAGTTCTGTGCAGCAGATACTTGCTAGCCACAATCAATTCTCAGTAGACCTCATCAACTCAATCAATAAAACACTTAAATCCCTGTAGGAGACATGTTCAGCAACAGTAAGAAGCAGCAAGATCTGTGTAAGAGTCTCTGACAAGGACCACTCTTCCATAGTGTGCCATCAAGCAGTAATCAAAGAAAGAGTTACTTACACCTACAACAGAGGAAAGGACAGCTGTCATGACTACATGCAAATTTTGATGTTACAAAGACGACTCAGGTGGAACTACCTGACATCTCTCTAGATGTACATCTCCAGGTCAGATACGGGCTTTAAAGGAGATAACACGAGCTACGGTAGTTCAATGAAGACGGAAAGATTTCATTGCAAGGTAATACTATATTGTGCTGATGCTTCTAATGAAATAATTTCCTGGACATTTTAAAGGAGAACTGGAGCATATTAATTTTTGAAGTTTTTATGTTCTTTTTGCTGTTTACAGATGATATTGCAGCTGTTCTTAAACTACGTGCTCAACTTTCAGTACAAACCCAAACACCCACTGCAGGCTCAGAAGGAGCCAGGACTGGTTCCTTCTGGCTAAGGTGGCAGAGACTGAACTGCCACATATCAGATCTAGTGACAGACAATACACATTTGCATTTCAGCTAACATAATATGTATTTATATACCACGATTTTGAGGGGACGAGGAGAGGCAGTTGAGAATGAGAGAAATCAATTGCAGGATTATTTTTGGTCTTGTTTCCTAAGAATCAGTTATTATTTTGGTAGCTAGAACAAGGAATCACCAAAATTTTCCCTCCTTATAGACCAAATTAATTAGATTAATTATTGACTCTATTCCAGATTAACTATAGATGTTCCAATAAGGTTCCCAAAATACCTAAAATATGGAGAAAAATATTCAGCTATTAGAGAGCATCCAAAGGAGGGCAACGAAGACGGTGAAGGGCGTTGAGGGGAAGCCGTATGAGGAGCAGCTGAGGTCACTTGGTTTGTTCAGCCTGGAGAAAAGGAGACTGAGGGGAGACCTTACTGCGGTTACAACTTCCTTGGGAGGGGGAGAGGGGAGGCAGGCGCTGATCTCTTCTGTACGGTGACCAATGACAGAACAGGAGGGAATGGCCTGAAGTTGTGTCAGGGGAGGTTTAGGTTGGATATTAGAAGAAGGTTCTTTACCCGGAAGGTGGTTGGGCACTGGAATAGGTTCCCCAGGGAAGTGGTCACAGCACCAAGTGTGACAGAGTTCAAGAAATGTTTGGACAATGCTCTCAGGCACATGTTGTGACTCTTGGGGATGGTCCTGTGGAGGGCCAGGAGTTGGACTCCATGATCCTTGTGGGTCCCTTCCAACTCGGCATATTCTGTGATTCTGTGACATAGCCAAAGTTGGAGAGCAGAATTTAGACAATGAAAGGCAAGAGAAGTTGAGAAGAAAATATTACAAATTACCCCAGTTATCTTTATACTCTTTGCTCCTGTGTAGAGTCTGGTAGAATTGCACACAGCTAGGCTGGGCTTCTGTCCCAGCTAAGATAGGTACTGTGATTATGGAAAATGAACCTATACTGACTTGGGAGAACATAAATATTTGTAATGTATGCTTTTACCTTGATTTATTGATGGATATTTTATTTTGATAACAATAAGGTTATCACAGACTAATATTTAATTAGATCAGTTAAAGAATAATGCATTCAAATGATGTAACCATCTGATGTTAATGTAAAATGATGTTGTCTGTATGTCAAATACCACAAAATAGGTAATTTGGGATCTTATCAGGAATGTTCAATTCAGTTATTAATAATCTATTAATAATCTATTCATGTGGCAGTCATAACAGGCTGGGTATTTTTCAGCGATATGTGATCAGAGAAGTTCAGGCTGAAGCAGTATACAAGCTAAGACTATAAAGTCTGGACTTTGTAATCCTGGACTCATGCTCTTACTCAGCTTCTAGTAAAGCACAGAACTTCATTTTGGGTTTTTGTTGAACCTGCTCCATTTTATAATCAAACCCAGAAAAGGACATAAGAAGAATTGTGAAACCTTATTTTACAAGTCTCCAGAAGGCCTTATGAATGAAGTACTGTACCTGGGCCACTGTGATAGCAAAGCTAAAAACTGAACTTTTCTCTTTAAAACCAAGAAAGCAACAACCAATCAACCAAAGGTAGCTCTAGTATGCTGAAACCATGATTTTAGTATCCTCCTCTTATTTGGCTGGGGAAAGAGACAGAAATAAAGAAGTGGCTCAACACATGCTCATTCAGATCTATCTCACTATTTACCCTTTCTGACAAAGAGCCATCCAACTCTTGCTACTCTTTTCAAAGCTGCCAATGAAAAGAAAGATTTTTCCTGGGGAGGAGGATCTCCAGGGGAAGAAGTGAAAAAGCATCAGAGAGGGAATATGGAAGAATTCACTCCTACCCACCTACGGGAGATTCCTAGAAGCATTGTTAGCCTGAAGGTTTACAAAAACTCACTCCACATCTCAAAGGAAAGGTCAATTCTGGCAGGTTGATTTTAAAGCAGCAACAGTGTCTAGCTGGAATCTCTCACAAGCTTGGAATGTTAGAAGTAGACCCAGGAGAGAGGGTTTAATGTACAAAAAGCAGGTGAGGCAGCCAGAAAGACATGATGAATGCAATTTATCACAGGGCTCTGCAATTTATCACGATAGAATCACAGGAAACAAGCAAAGCAGAGAAGTAGATAGATAGACTGCATAGATTAAGATCCTCTGGGCATAGCACTTCTTTGAAATATGCCAAGGAAATTACATGTTGCATGCTCAGATTTTCAAACAGTATTTTATTGATGGAATGGAGCTGTGTATTTCTCGAGTTGGGGTCCTTTTCCCCAGAAAAGAAAAAGATGTGTTATTCTGAAGAATGAAAAAAAAAAAAAAAAAGAAAAGCTGAAATTATAGAATGCTGGTTTGCTTCATTCTGGTTTTAATCCCCTTCTTGAGCAGCTCTGGATATGTGCCAGGAGGTAGGGGTTTCCATGTGCAAACAAAGTGCCTGTACTTCCCAGCTACCCTCCTTCCCACTCAGTTTTAAAGTTCAGGTGTATGAGGCTCCACACACAGGAGCAATTTCAGTCTGTGAGCTACTTTTGACAATGTGCAAGTGATCAAAATGTGCTCACAGTAAACACACTTCTTCCTCACTCCACTGCTTTTGTGGGGTGCCTTTCTCAAACCAGGTCTGTTCTATCAGGGTAACAGTTTTACAGCAGCAGGGCTGGCGCAATACCGTGGTCCAGAGTGTTCCTGCAGCGTGCTGGGTACTCCCCACCTCCCACAAATTAGGGGCCTTACAGCTTTCAAAACAGTGCATGTACTATTTAAATTGCTTCACTGGGAGGAGAATTATGTGTTCTGCAACGCCTCAGGACAATGAGCCAAAGGAACTATAGAATAGGAGCTTGGTGTTAGAGCCGGGGCTCTGCTTTGTGTGTGTTTTAGCCTGGTATGTAACATTACTTTTACATTAACATTTGTGGTTCCTTTTTTATGCACTCCAGCTTCACCATGCTTCCCCCTTTATATTTTAACAGTCAGAATCCTATGATCCAACCAGGGTGGCATGTTCAAAGCTCTACTTCTTTTTAGCACTGATTAAAAAAAAAAAAAACAGGCAAAAAAACCCCTTAGAGTATTGACAGAGCTTACTTCAAATAGCTTTTATTAACACTAGGACAAGACTATAGCCAAAGAATTATACAAAACACAAAACAAAAAGGATTTTAACAACTTGGTTGAAGACTATTTCACGCCAATCCAGAGCTCATATATCTATAAACAACAAAGTTTTGGAGCACAATATTACTTAACATTACTCATTGGATGCTTTCAGATACAAAAACGTATCAGGAATAATAACAATGGTTCCTTTTACTCTTATGGAAATATTACTATTGACCTTTGAAAATGCTGTCCTTTGGGTCAGTCCCACTGATACTTTATCCTTAGAATCTGCTCTGCCTGGAAAGACAAATTACAGATAAACTTTTAGAGATCTGAGCAAAAGGACTGTTTTTTATTGTAGAAACAGATAGCAACATCAATTTCCCAAGGAAAAAAATAGACACTTCAGCTGTGCATCCCTAGACCAAAAAGTCAGTGTTGTAAAAACCAACGGCAGTAAGTTTGCTTTGAAAGCTTTAGTTATGAGTTCACCAGGTATTGCTTTATGCTTTCCTACTGCATTCTAAATTAGAATATTAAGCCAATCATTAAATTTTAAATAGCAGTAAACTATGCAGCAAGAGACATGTGAACTGTTCCCATAAGACATGTCGTCTACACTCTTGTGAAGCCAATAGAATAGATCCACTACTGTCAGTGTTCTTTCAGACAGACTTTTCTAGAAGCAGAACTGGCACTTCGTATCAGAAACAGGTACGTGTGGCCAAGCTTAGATCTGTTACTTGGGCTTTGTTTACAGTTTCGTGTGGCTGACTGCAAAGTTCAGGTTTCTTCTTTAGCTGCCTCCCAGACATAACCCAAAGCCTGTTAGAGGAGGGATTTCAGTGCTCTTTGAACCAGGACATCCTATGGCTCTGTTACTGCCAATGTGCCTCTGGCCATGCAGGCATACCATCGGAAGGGGGTAATATGTGGGGATCTCAGCACAGAATCACTCTCACTGCAGAGCACCAGTGCCACTGGTTTCACGCATCCACACAGAAGCATGGCTTCCATATAAATTACGGCCCTTATAAATCACAGCCCAACTCACAGTGTGCTAATTGACATCCCAACAGCAGTATCTTCGATGGTGCAGAAGAATTTATATTTTGCTATAATCTATTTTAATATGCTGAATCACAGAGCAGGATGAAGGATTGTGCAGAAGACATATAATTGATTGTTGCTGGAACATCCTTTTTGGTCTTCACCCTCTCTGGTGTTACTTACTAGGGATTAAAACTGAGCTAGCAACAAGATGTCATGGGACAAAACTCTTTTGGATCAAGTGAAAATATTACATTGTTAAAATCAAAATGGGTCCCTTTTGAGGCTTGAGAGGAATGTAAGTTTCACAATTTCTTTTTTTTTTAACAGTCAGCAGACAGCTAGCTAAATTGTACTTTTAAAATACTACTCCAGTTTGGATCTGTCACAAAAGCATTTAATTGCTGCTAGAAGTGACAAAGATAAGCTACTCTCATTCCCACACCAAGGGCAGGGGCATCTGTCACAAAAGACAGACTTTTTTTGTGTGGTTTTCTGTGTGCTACAAAAGGGGATTCAATTATAGGTACAAAAACGAAGCAAGTGACATGACAAAGAAAAATCTTGAATGACAATTTAGAACACAAACTCCTTCAAATCCAGGATGAAAAGCAGGTAGCAGAAGCTTGATTTAAGAGAAATTCTTTCCTGGCAGGTTCCACACACTACATCCCCCCTCCCCAGGTACATATTCTGTTTTACTTCCATACGGAGTCTGTAAAAAAAAAAAGAAAAAAAAAAGTACAATGGTTCACAAAGCTCTATTGTGACCTTTAAAAATTAAACAACCATGCACTGATATGCTTCTGGAAAGGCCACTATCGAGAAAAAAAATAATTTCCCCTATCAGTCACCTTATGAAGTGTCTGCTGGAGGTCGATAACTTCTCGGGCAAATGCAGAGTATACACGCAGGGCAGCACACCTGGCTGCTGCTGCTGCTGCTGCTGCTGCTACTTTGGACAGGAAATAGTACAGCAAGCTTCATGTCTGCATGAGTGTGGGCATGCCTGTGGGACAAGGGGGCATTTCCCAAAGAATAAACGCTTGCAGAGCACCTCCTTGCTCCTGCAAGCTAATAGGAGTTAGTTGTCTCACAGCCATCAGTGCCTTTGGAAAAGTTCCCTCTAATTCTTCGTCCCAGACACATTGCCCCGAAAGTGTCCTGCTGTCTGTCTACAAAAATTAGTCAGTCTCTACATTCTTGTTCTCTACAGGACCTCTGGTGTTGGCTGCAGCATAACCTTTCTAATATTTCATCTCCGGTTATGACTCTCAGCTTTTTAGAGAGGCTGCACTGAGATAAGACACCAACTAAAATACCACATACTCTAGAGAGGGATTAATTTTGCTACTTACATTCAGCTGGCAGCATGCTGTTGACTTTTTTGCAAAGTAAAGGAATAGCCATCTTTGTTTGCATAACATTTTCTTTTTCTTTTATTATATTTATTTAAGATAGCTTAATGATTTTACTTTTCTCAGATTCACTTGCTTGGAATTAATTGCTTTATCTTTACTGAAAGTAAAATTAGGAAGGTACATGATTAAAAAAGGGAATAATTCTGTTATCTTTACACTGGCAAAATTCCCATGAACTTTGATTATTCACTAGGAATGTTGCCTGAAAAGGGATCATATAATCAAGCACTTCATTGCTGCAGATTATATTAAAGCCAAATGAGCACATACAGAATTCCTGCACACAGAATCCAAAAATGAAGTGCAAGACACTCAGGTTACAGCAGTTCTCAGATTTGCTGTTCATGATTGTTCTCACTCCAGCCCAGGTAAGAGCATTAAGCTGGATAAAATTAATTCTTTTCTTCACATCCTGAGTCATATCTCTTTTAGTTTTCAGTTTCTACTATGCACTGAAGGACCCAAGAATACAAGAAAAGTATTTAATGACCTAAAAGTACAAGAAAAGCATAACAATACAAGAAAAGCCACATTCATCTTAATATTTAGTCCCAAACACTGGAGAAGAATGTGAACTGGAGCAAGCATGTTAGTGGTACTTGCTGCTGAGGCATCTCTCATTCTGGTAGTTGGTGACTTAGGGACATCTTGATTCGGGGCAGAGTGCAAATGACTGCATGCTTCCCCTGTGAGCCTGGGGTGGGGGTACTCTGGGATGTCCCTCTGCCTGCCTGCAGCCCTTGTACCACCATCACCAGACACAGGGTCACCCTGGCTCCAAATGCTCTCTGCCACCTCCTCAGCTTCACCTTCTCCATGGAATCACACACAGAAACCAACTTTTTTCCCATCTTGTTTATGCATTTTAGCTCACTTTTAGATGTAATCTAAGCTCAAATGTAGATATTTTGGCAGCCAGCATGAAATATCTGGGAATGAATTTTCAGAGGTGTCAATCCCTCTAGCCTAAGGGAGACGTCCATGGGAGACATGAGACACTGATGTCTCCTCAAAAACAGTTCCTTAGCCTCTGAATCTGGACATTTGAAACACGCAATTCATGCATCTTTCTGAAATGCTTGCAATTTGTTGTTGAATCCAGTTAAAACTGGGCATTTTTAAGAATGTCTATGTGAATATTTCCCTGGAAGCATGACTAAAATTGCTGGAAGATATTTTAACTCTAATCCATGGGGAGCTATTGATGGTAATAAAAAATACTGTGAGAAGAAAACAGCAGCAAGTGAAACTGCCCTCTCAGAAAGTCCAGGTCTGCTTTGAAGGAAGTGTTGATATTCACCATAAGCCTCAATCATTTCCCACAGGGCTGTATGGTGCCTTGTAATGACATAATCAAAAAGTAATGGTGTTCTGGACTTAAAGGACAAAAAAAAAAAAAAAAAAAAAAAAAGCACAGCCTGATCATCTCCCATTGAAATCAAAGAGGATTTTGCTATTGACTTTAGCGAGAACAGAGCTCTGGACACAATCTGTGTGCAGTTTATTTGCACATTTGCTTATCCAAACGATCCTAACTTCAACCAATAGTATGTCTAGATGTCTGTTTTAGACTACATCTGTATGAATGTATAACTGTGACTTTGTAATGTGGTTTAATTCAAATTATTTTGGCATTTTAAAAGCATTTCCAGCTACAAAGGACAGCTTTAGTTGATTTGCACCCCAGAATATAGCCTTTGATTGGAAAAGCTTGTAACTCCCATTTCAGGTTGCAATTCATATTCAGTTTCATGCAAGCTAACACACAATCAGATTTTGCATTTTAATTAATTTTTAAACGATGTTATTATGCACTCAATTAAAACTTTGCAGCCATTATTTCAAAATGGGAAAAGCTCTACAAGTTACCCATCTCATCAGCTATAGTCCTTGGTTTTCTTGAAGGGAAATTTCTTTGATGATCACAACAAAACTGCAGAAAATGGCAAGTAAGATTGCCATCACGAGTCTGCTGAAAATGCAGGATGAACTCCTCACTGCCTTAGTCATGTGAACAACCCCATCAGAACAGCCCGAAATCAGGCAAGGTGGCTTACACCAGGAGTTAATTTAGCCTGCTGGGACTCGTTGCATTACTAAAACAAGCATGGTTTTGGCTTGTAAATGGGGGGGGGGAGAATTTTATTTCACTTTTTGAGGGTCAGAATTTTATTTCCCTTTCTAAGGGGCATACATACATTTTAGAGTAAACCTTTCAGAATAAAAGTTTACTTCTCATTATAGGAAATGACATTCTTTTTTTTTTTTAGATTTTCCTTTTCAAAGCATGCCTCAGATTTCTAACTTGTAGTGGAGAGCTTTGGTATAAGTAATAAAAGTCTTTAAAACTAAAATGCTAATAGTAAACAAACCCAAATGCATGAAAGATATAGTCTGACTGCATAACAAAAGAGAATTATATAATTCTATTTGAGTGAAATCTTTCATCTTTGATTTACAGGTTTGAGTCTGCCTATAACTGAAACCATATTGTTCCATATCTTTCATATCATGGCCTTCCCCAAAATCTTGTTTTAATTAAGGTTCCTTTCAGATTTCAGAATAAAAAGCATGACAGTCTTCACTTATGGCTTTAATTTTTTTTTTTTTTTTTTGAATTTGGAAAATATATAAAAAATGAACATCACTTTCTTTCAAAAGCTGAGCAAACTATCAAATACTGCAAGCTGAATACTTCACAGTATCTCCTGGGGTTCATTAAGTGAGAAAGTTGTAAACAAAATAAAAGTTACTGTAGCAGAGTTTTGTTCATTTGAAGTACTCTTACATACATGCCCTATCTCTTTCTCTGACGGTAAGGCAACACGTGTAACAGTTTAAGCGTTCATTATCAGCTAAAGGCACAACTCTATGCAACGTTCTCAAACATGGAATTAAACAGCTGAAGTCACATTGCAGGGAGATCTTGCTGCACTTTGGGGATCTAAAATAAAGCCTAAACCCTTTGAAGCTTCTTAAGCAACATCAGTCTCTTGGTGCAGGACTACATAAAAGAATCAGTTCATATTCACGTCACGACCTGTAAAAAACACCCCACACAACCTCCACAGAAACACCTGAGCTTCAAATGAGCTGCACGCAGTTACTGAAGATCGTTGCTTTGGAGTCAGGACGCAGAAACATTTCAGAACAAACTAAAAACACATTTGAAAAACTATCCACACTTGATCTCTGCTGCACATATGGTGAGCGCTACTGTCAACTACAGAGGGTACAGCACTTTTTTTTTAAAGGCAGAAGATCGCTTGTTTTAGAGATTCGTGGATGTGTTTTTATGATAGAAAAGATTACATGAAATGGGGAGGGATGACCAGGAAAAGGGAAGAAAAAATAAAGCACCACCAAGCACACTACTTCGGGGGACTTATAGTACAAGAAAAAGTCCTTTCCCTTTATCTAAAATCCCTCGTCATAATTTAAACACTTTTCACTTATTCAGCTAAGAATTCATTAGAGGAGATTAAAAATTGGCACGTAAAATAAGGGTGGAGATTTTTCTTCATGAAACAGAGCAAAGAAAACAAATTCTATTAACAATTTAACACAGTATGAAAAAAAATTACCCAGTAAAAAGTGTCAGAAAGTGATTCATGGAGTTCACAGAGTATGTTGCTGGCTGTTGCAATTCTCATATCTATGATCTATCATGTAGAATTTTGCAATACTCTATTTCACAATTTCTGTTGGTGAGTGGGTCAAACAGCATATAAAAAGCATGCTCTAGGCTCTTTCTCTCAAGCCCATTTTTCTGTAACTCTAGAATTGTAGCAGTTACATTTAAGGAATCTTTTGGGCTCTTTCAAGTCCATCCAAAGAACAAGTGAAGCTGCTATTCAGAGTGTTGTGCCCAGTGTTTATGTTCCATCTGATCTGTGCCACCCAAGAAGCAGACAAGACATGTCTGAGGGTGCTTTGGGGGATACACAATGATGTCACCCACAGGAAATATCAGGGAGGACTTGGCACTTCACAAGGCTGGCTCTTCTTCCATGGGCTCACCAGCAGCTCTGTAAAAATAAACAGGCAATCAGAATACAGCACAAGAGTACACAATGACATTGTAGATTTTCATGCATAATCAAAGCTGATTTTTCAGCTCTCTCAGATGTTTATTTGTGTTATTCACTTATCCATAAATAGAGTTTCTTTCCTAGGAAGTATAAACAAATGTCAAGTGGAAAAACATTTTAGATTCAAGCAATCACCAAAAATGTTCCTGTTTATATTAAAATATGTCAGAATATTTTATAACTTTTTGTCCAGAAACGTACATGCTTTGTGTCAATAGAATCAAATACTTTCACGAAAAAAAGCTGTGATACTTTATTTTACAAGCTTTTGCAACTAAAAATACATGCATTTATTTTTTCAAGTGGGCCCATACCATTAAAGCAAAATAGCTCACTAGTAACCAAGTAAGTGAGCAGTGTTTCCTCTGAGGTTCTTCTCCAGTCTCCTAATTTTTGATTTTGTTCTTTCATAAACGCATTGCCTGCCTGCCCGCAACTTTTTAGACTAAATTCTGAACCTGATCAGCAGATAGCTACCATAGAGAAGGTATCTATTATAATATAAAATCAGACTACATATGTATCTTTTACTTGAAAACTTCTGGGAAATATTCAGCTTGGGCAGGATGAGCTCTCTAAGACAATCAATAAGAAAATAATGAGGACGCATATGATAAACTGGTCTAAAGTCTTGTAATTCCTTGTATCTGACAAACTACTGCACCTGAGGAATATCATGGCAATTATAAAATGAAAAGCTTTTGAGATCACAGCAAGACCTCACTATTGAAGGGCAAAGAATTTGGACAGAAACCATTTTTCACATCAGTCTGTCAGAATACCATATGATACATGAGTTTAAGAACTCCTTTAAAATAATAACTTTAAGTAATTATGAAATGAGGGGAGAACAAAAAGTAAACATAAATTAATAAATGGGGTGTTTACCAGATAATCTTGTAAGCCAGTATAATACCTGACTTCAGTAAAAAATCCCTCAGAAAGCACAAACACATGAGATCCCATGGAAAAGAAAAGTAATTAATGGGGGCTTGCTTGGGCTTTGATAGTTTATTCAGCAAGGAGAGCAGAGAATTTTAAATGAATCTGGAATTTATTAACATCTTTCCCAATGAAAAAAAATCTGCACTATGTCTTTAAATGATTTTATACAGCTTATTCCTTTATGATTTGGAATGATCACAGCTAGCATGTTGAAAAATATGCCAGGTGAATGATATATGAAAAAGAAGATGTTTTTCAGACTAATCACTTCCCAAAGGGTATTGAACCTAAAAGATTATTGATCTATAAATCTCAAATGTTTTGTTCCTCACCACGCGGTGGAGAATGTTTCCTATGTACAGTAACCACTGCAGTTCCCTCATTCCTGAGAGGTGAGGTGAAGCCCTCTTGCATTCTCTCTTTTTACCCTCTTGCATTGTGCTGTCTTACAGCACAGACCACACAGTGGCAGCCAGGGTGGGATGGAGCCCAGCCTGCTGCTGAGGTCCTCAGGTGTGATAAAGCATCACACACCATGTGGAGAATTCATACAGATAGTGTATGTTGCTGTTGTGCTGACCATACACTCCACTTTCTCCAGCCACTTTTGGGAAACCTGAACCTCCCCTGGCATAACACAGAAGTGCAATAAGCCCTTGTTAAACATCCAGAACCTTATGGGTCTGTCAGGAAAGAGGATAATTTGGAAGCAGGTGACAGCTCAGTTTTTAGGTTCTGCTGTGAGTAAGCGAACGAGAAGCAATAGTTGTTAATAGACTTCAATTGGAGACTGGCAGAGCAGGAAGGAGTGAAGCTCTGGGAAGCCTCTAGAAGTGGGAATGGGAGTTTGGTCTATTTATAAGAACTTAGGGAATCAGTACATACAACAGTCTGTTCACATGTACTTGGCTTCTGGGACTGACATTCTCTTGACCATAGTAGAGCTGAGAGGATCTTATTCAGGGCTTTATTCTTGGGAAATTTTTCACTGACAAGGGTGCTTCTGAGTGCCAGGAAGCACTCAGACATCCAGTGCTATATTCCAATATATTCCAACAATAGGCCAATATTCTGCATCAACCAGAGTGAAAGCACCAATAAAAATTTTTATAAGCAAGTGGCAGATGCAAGGTCCTTTTTGGAAAAGGAGAGGAGGTTAGAGTGCCCTGGCAATCCAGCTGTTGTCTCTCAGCGTGGGTACTCTCACAGCCTTCTTCATTCTCCTTTTGAAGACTTATGTATATGCTTTAACTTCACTTTATTCGTGTCAGAGAAGTCATTGATCTATCCAACGGCTTATCATTAAAAACATGTATTTTTATGAGATAACGGCTTAGGACAGAGTTTTATGTGAGAGCCAGTACAGTTTCAGGGCCTTCAGTATATAAAGAAAAACACTCTAAGTCCCATAGCACTGAGCAGTGAATCAATATATACCCATTCTGCCAAAATCAAAAGTTCTCAAAAGAAAAATCAAGGGGGCAGACTCTGACAGGCCAAATTTATGTTACTTCAGCTTTGTCACTGTTAGTTACATCAGTTCAGTCAGTCTTCTGTAGCTGACAGGAAGTTGGCATAAAAACATAAAATAGGCAAACCCCCCTATCCTGTATTGTATGCTCTGACTGGTTCCTCGAGACGCAGCTGTGAGTTCAGGTCTGATCTGAACTAATTCCATGTGGTCAGCAGATTCAGAAATACAACAGTTGAGACTGTACTGATTGTAGAATCACAAGTGTGATTTTTCTCTAAGGCTTCACTGTGGCTCATTTAAACTGCAAGTTCCTAGGAGCTGAGCTCTCTTGGTTTTGATGGGCTGGGAAGAGTGCTCACCTTTAGCTCTCTATATGTACAATTCTGACCATGGCAGAATGAAGTAGTCTCTTCGCCGTTAATGCTAAAGAAAATGACTCTGTTTGAACCTTAAAACAAGAAAAATAGATGAGGCAAAAATCCTACCATATGGATAAAATCTGGCAAAACATGTGACATCTTAAATATTGTTCTGTGGCAATTGACAATAAATGTTATTTATGAGAATATTATTTAAAATACTTATTATCCACAATTTAAAAAGCTAATATTTAAGAATATAGATAAACTCAGAACATCATCCTAAAAAGTAAATGTTTCTCTTACCCTATTTTTTAAAGTAGAATTACAGAGATTCCTCTTAGCTACATCATCACACACATAAAACTAAAAATTCAAGGTATGTTTCCAAGTCACAGAAACTGCTGAACAAAAGATAGATTTTCTGGCACGGTATGGCTGTTTTATGCCATAATCTGTTCCTAATTTAACTCAGCTGTCTCCGGGAAGATCGTTGTAATTGAAAAGCGATCCTCTGGTAGCAGAGAGCTGGGAAAAAAGAGGTACATTTCTATACCATGGAGATGATTCGGGGAGCATATAAAGATATTATATATGAGATCCTAGTAAAATTGGACTTAGTATGGATCAAAGAGAAAGGAACTAAAAGTAAAAACTATCCTAGCTTAAGAGCAGAATAAAGTAACTACACGTATACTCTCAAAAGAGGAAGTAATGTCCAAATAAGGCAAATTAAATAAAATATAAGCACTGGCAAGTTAAATGTAAACCCTCAATGAAGCAGAACAAAGGAGAGTCTGAAGAGCAACATGTTAAAGGCATAAAAGCTAATAATAAAAAGATCTTTCAAAATACATCAGAAGAAATGATCAAAGCATAAAAGGAGCATCAAGGAAGGTAGACCACAAAAGCAAAATGAACTATTTATATCTGGGTTCACTAGAGAAGTGTCAGGGAGATTTTATTATTTGCAGATGAACTATCTTAAACTGAATCAGCACCAGAACAAACTGATATATCAAACATTGCCAAATTTCTAAGAGCAGATGATATTTGTCTGCTAAGTTCCAGGGAAATGTGATTAGGATGCTGTTAAAGAAATAGTTTTTGAGCATATTCTAAAGCTGAACTCAGCATCCATGCAAGAGGTAGAGAAGGCAACAAATGCAGTTCCCCTTTTGGAAACCACAGGAGATACAGTAAGCCTTTATGGGGAAATTGAAAGTAGTGATAGGCATTTAGGTAACAGTAATTTGAGTTAGGTCTTAACACTTATAAAGATAGCAAGCCTTACAAATTTATTAGAAGTTTATGAAGGAAATTAAGGAGAGGGATCAAGTGACATCCCTGCGCAAAGAAAGTCTTCCAACAATTTCATCCTGGTTCTCTTCCTTATGCAACCACCACTGGAGGATGAGAGAAAGGTGGGCAAGATAAGGCTGCAGGTTGACCTGGGGAAGCAGATCCTGTGGGGTATGGCCAGGTAGGTGCTGGTTACTCAGCACAGCTGAGGTAGATATCCAAATAATGAAATGCCAAGTGAAGCTTTATGAGTTGATATACAAATACAGCGAGTGTCCCTAAGTGGTGGCTAGCTGTATCCCATGATTCAACCAGTTGCTCTAGTATATAATATAATTAAACTGCAACTGGTAGCTCTGTAACATCAAGAGTAAAAATTAAATTTAAATTAAATAAAACTTTGTTTTAATTTCCATTTGAGTAAAATCTACGCTCAGCTGAATCAGAGCCATAAAGTCAAATTCCGATAAATGTCATTCTCAAGATTTACTGTTTCCTGAAAAAATAGTAAGTGCAAGAGATCTCCCTCCACACCCTTTTCTTTTTTCCATTTTAAGAAGAAACATCCAGAAGCTCCAATGTATCAGAGACAGCAGGGTACTGAGTATTTTCACAGCACGATTTCTGAAACAGATGTCTGGCCAAAGCAAAATTCTAATCAGCTAAATCTGTATCTCACATAGGGAATAAACAGTTATCAACACACTAAAGTTTTGGTAGTTAGAAATGTTTTATAGAGCATGCCTGTTCCTTTAATTGCATCTGTATTTAAATCTGTGTTAGCATCATGCATGTTTTCTTTCCTATCCACAAACCCTTTATTCTATATCTGTTCTCTTCTGAAGTCTATAATCAAGATTCAATTGGACTTTAAAATGCAGAGTTGTGCTTTGGTAAAATAAAACACCAACAGCATAGCAGCTTTTCACGTTTTTCTTCATTTACCCTGCCAGAGAAAATCAAGTAAAAAAGTAATCAGCACTGTCACTTGAAGAAAAGAAAGAAAGAGAGAAGAAAGAAATAGAAATACTTAATATGGGCCTTAGCCAGGAGCATTTTATCCTTTATTCATCAGTGGTAAATGAGTCAGATATGAGTTGGCCAGGAAAAGAGCTCCTTTACCCAAAATCTGAGTTTAAAGTGAGTCATCTCACTCCAAACACCAATATATCCTCCAACATAATTGGCAAGAGTTTCCCACAAAGAGACTTTTGCTGCTGCTCTCTTCATCTGGAGGCCTGACCATCCAGATCCGAAGTCGACAGGATCTTTATCATCAAATCAGTGAAACAGGATTAGAGTTGCAGGCCAGAACTATCAGCCTGGCTGACCGTGGTGGGAATTAAGAGGAAGTAAATGGACTCCTGGTGTAATCAAGGAGCCCTTCAGGCCAACTTGTCAGCCACAGTGCTTTCTGCTCTCATCCCACTCTACCTGTCACAAACAACTTTCCCAAACAAACACTCAATGCAAAAGCTTGCAACAGGTCTTCAAAAGGTGACCCCATCCACAACAGTAGGGGGAAGGGCGCATCTAAGGTGGTCTTACCAAGAGGGCTTGAGACCCCACATGACTTCTCACATCCCTGCAGCCCTGTGTTTGCCACAGGAAGTGGCTGGAGAAGAAGAATTGCATACATAGTCCTTTATTACAACAAAAATCAAAATATGTGAAAAAGCAAGGTTGAACTTATCTCTACCTTACTGCAGTTTGTGTTGGTATGTGCCTATGAAATGAACAGCATGTTTATATGAAATGAATGAAATCATACAGAACCAAAAAGTGTGCAATGTCACAGAATCAGTCCCTGGACATCCCATAATGGACTTTCACTCATTTTCAAAGTGCATCCAGGTCCTCTCAGGTCTCCCCATAGTTCAGACAACCCTCAGAATCAGACCCTTAGGGGGGCCATTTTTGATCCCATATTCTTCCTTACCTTCATCAGGAAGAAAACAAAGACAATGATGCCCAGAAGCCTCAGAAACCTAACTATCAATTTCGGTCCAAGGGGACAGAACTTTTGTTGTCCTGTCACTCCCTGATGGCAATCTGGCTTCATGTGACCTCTTTGTGGGTAACGAACGTGGAAGCAAACTTCAGAACACGTGTGTGTGCAGGCTTTTTTTTTGTGCTACTGACAAATGTCTGCAGCACCACAGAAGATATTTCAAACGAAGCCATTTTTCCACAAAACAATTCATCATGATGGAATGGTCCCTATAAGAGTCCAGAACTGATGAAGTGTAATGAATCTGGCAGCCACATGAATTCCACTTGTGTACAATTCAGCATATCTATTTTTTTTCCATTTTTCTCAGTTCTGTGCTGAAATTCTGTTTTCACAATGGGTGGAAACTGTCACGGGTTATCAGTTGGTAGGTAAAAAGTACAATAATTAAGTGCAGCATTAGCTAAAGGGTTATTTTGTTCAAATCACACAGGATCAGCAGTTGCTTTCAATAGCTGTAGTTTTAAGTGAGTGGAGGCACATAACAAATACAATTCTTGGTTATTCTCAGCAATGTAAAAATACACAGAATTAACCACACCCTTTTCCAGACAATTTAAAGCTTTGTTTTATTTGACTACATTAGTTCCAACACTTTAAGTAAAATTCTTTATATTTCAGAGCTATGCAACACGTATGTACCTTTCTGTCCCTAGGTAGCAGAAGTGTCTCATAACTGTTAGAAATTTATATGGAAACTCTTACATTATTCCTTAGCTGAGCACTGATTAGCACAGTCACAAATCTAAAATACATCTTCTGTTCATCATGGATTCCTCTCTAAGCTTTTGTGAATTTGTTTGTAATAATACTAGCACAAGAACAGCTACAGAATATTAAAACTACAATTACAATTGGAAAGGTAATTATGAAAATACTGTGAACTTTACTAGCTAGCTCTTCTCCCTGTGTCTCCCTTTGAGCTGTGCCTCTCAACTCATTGACAGATGAGCGTTCCCACTGTTGTAAGAGATGTTCGCTCCCAAACACATCCACAGCTTTGAGCACTGCACTAGTCCCCTGGGTGCCTATCAGTTCAGTTCTGACTAAAAGATCCAATGTGGGAGGCAAGAACCGAAGCAAATAAGAAGAATTTATTTAAATAAGAAGCTGTCACAATGTAGGAGCCATGGACCCTTCTGGCTCCACTCCCATCACTGCTCTGCCTACCCACAGCTCCCTCCTTTCTCTCCTGTTGCTACAGCTCTGCTCCATACCCTTCAGGGAGCCGATGAGTCTCCTTATAAGGCTTTTTTCATCTTTCCTCCTCCCTCCTGTTTTTTCTTTGTGATGGAAACTGAATGGTTCCACTACATTTTGGGTCTTTCTCTACTGGTGAAGACTAGGGATGTTTGTCCTTAAAATGAAAAAATAGGAAATTCCAAAAACTTCTGCAGTGACTTTTCTGATTGTAGATGACACAGTATTCAGTGGCTATCCATTTTTCTTTTCTTCTGTAATTGGCAAAAAACACAACAGCACTTACTGTACCATTTTCTCAATTTGGAAATTGAAAACAATCTTCATTAATGTAAAAAGCAGATGACAAGCTGGAAAAAACAGTGTTCTCATTCTTTGCCGGTCTACCTTCATCTTGGTACACAGAAAATGTTGGCCCTAATCCTTGTCAAGATTGGTTTAAGTTTTATACTGGCACTGTTCCACTGCTTCCAGGGAAGTAACTTTTAATGCCTGTCTAATATAATTTAATAATGATTTAAGTCCATTCTTATTAAATTTATCTGTGTGTTAAATACCTTCCTAGAAAATTAAAACTAAAACAGATTTGAAAAGCTTCCAATGAGAAAAGAATATGGTTGATTACATTTGATCATGTCTATTTACCTCATATGGATATTGCACTTTTTATGCATCAGTGAGCATCAGACATGGGAAGAAAACAAGGTCCTTGTACTAATCATGAGCTTTAGTGAAGAAATAGACACACCAAAAAAAAAAAAACTAAGCAAAAGTGCTTGCACAGAATACCTCTGCTTCCAGAGGCCAAGTGAGAGTACTCAAATTCAGGGATGAAAATTTCCAGTATCTCAATCAGCAGATAATTTTGAAGCAAGCCTAGCCTATCTATTTCTTCATCTCACTTGGCTGGAGCAAAAGGCTTGTTCTCTCTAATGATTTCATACACTTACCTGCTGCCTTCCTGAGGGATACACTGCTCAACATCCACTGAAAGAGAGGCCATAGCAGACACCGTTTCTGTCTCCTCCCTCTCTTGTTGCTGAGACTCAGCCAGAGCACAGTCCACTGGCACAGAGTATGGCTCCACTGACTTCCAGTACTTGCCTAAGGAAAACACACATAATAATTTATGGGAATTTTAGCTAGCATGGTGGTACAAGCACAGTAATCAGTTAGTTCAACACTGAGTGATTATAATTTAAAATCACTGTGGTGTAAGCAGTACAGTTGAAATTTCAGACTGCAGTGAAGACATATATTTCTGAACCTAGGAATGCCAAGTTGGAAAGTGCTTTCATTCCAAGGGCTGTGTCACACCCTTCCCCAGAAGGTAATAAACTGGAGGAGTAACACACAGACTAATGAACACAGATTGTCAGGCAGGCTATTGCCTTTATCTACGCAAGGTGAAGAGAGTTCAGAGCAGGGCTAATAACTAGAAGTTCTGATATGGCAGAAAGTTGATGCATATACAGCAAAATGTAGAAAAATGCACATTATTGTACAAAGTGCTCACACAGCACTGTCTTGAAAAGGAAAAAAGTCAGAAATGCCAGCTCGGACTGAAGTGGTGTTGCCAGAACAATCAGGTTTGTTAGTCCTGGATGTTCTTTCTCCTCCAACCTCAGGGCGTATACTAGAACAATAATTTATTTAAAACTTTCATATATGAACTGGCTGTTGCTGGAAAGCTGCCAGGTATCACAAGGAATAGAGACTTCTGGTTTGCTGCGTAAAATTTGCCGTGTAAAAACACAGCGTTGGATTAAAAACATGAATATTTTTAGCTTTCTGCCTGCAACAGAAGAAGGTCCTCAAGAGACACAAACAATAATGGCAGGTGACTCATCCTCAACATATAAAATTGTCTGCTACTGCAGGGTTATTAAAAAATAGGTTGATTATTCATAGCCATATGAACAAGTAAGAATTTACATATATATTTCTTATAGTCCAGTAAAACACTGAGCGCTCTCTAATTGCCAGGTGGATGACACCTGGGAATTAGGAGCTTTGGGAAGTCTGGACCAGAGCTTATTCAGTGTTTAGCAAGAAGCTTTCAGCAGCTGCTGCAGAGGTTGGATCAGGGTACTTATCTGGGAATTAGACAGAGGGTTTCAACAGCTGTGAAAGAGTGGGGATCAAGTAGGGGACTTTTCCGAGGACTAAAAGGAGGATTTTGGCAGCTGGGCAGTGGGCTGAGCTGAGGTGCTTATCCAGAGGGTAGTTGGAGGCTTTGACAGCTGGGAGGCCAGGCCAGCAGTGGTGCTGCCTGTGCTGCACACAGGCTGCTGAAAACCACTTCTTTGGTAACACAGCTCTCAACAGAGTTTCAGGCTTTTGGAAAGATGAACTTTTCCCTCCAGTGAGAAAGCAGCTGTCAATAAAGCCTGAAAATGTCTTTATTCAAAAACATCATTGCAAGATGAAAGCCCAAGTCAATCTTCAAGAACAACCAGTGAGCACGGCCAGAGTGTTTCTTTGAACTCTAATAGTGTGCACGTTTGAGTAGTTAGCAGAATCTTTAAATAACGGGGACCTTCTGGGGATAAAATGTAAAGTGTATTAAGTATCCTACAAAGTTGAGATTAAGTGTTAGGAGTTTGGCTTTGCTCCAAAAACATGAAAGACAGAGCTAAAAAGTTATGTACATAACAGTAGGCTCAATGATTGGAGCCTGGCAAATTTTATAAATACAAGACAAAAATATTCTCTATTATTACTGTGCTCAGAGACCATATTCTCTATTCATTAAAAAATACACTAAAAACAAACAAAAAAGTTATATGAGCATTCCACAATGTTCTCACAGATCATATGTGCAAAAGTCAGTCTTTGCAATATACACCCAATTCAAACCCTATAATTTATGAGCTAAATGTTCACAGAGTGGGTGGGGTTTTTGTTGCAGAAACAGATGTGCAAGAAAATCAAATCTGTTGGCATGGGAATAATACCCCCTCTTGCCTATAAAAGAAATGAACCCATGTTCACTGCTGGAGTTTTCAAGGGCTCTTATTCATAAAATAAAATATTAGTACCCAGCTACCACTGTGTTGCTCTCCTGCAGCAACAATAAAACAGCATCAGTGAGGACTGCTACATCACATTCGTTCATTCACACACAGGCTCACACACCAGCTGCCCCCTGAATCCTGACTTTCTTGTAACATTAAAACTCAGAGCCAATTCAAGCATATTAGTGGGCTCTCTGTGCCCATTTAACTGCCCTTTGCTCCCACGTGATTGGTGATTTTCCTTGTTCCCATGCATTGAGAATTATGAGAGGGGCTTCAGTGATAAAGAGAGTAAAGTCAGGCCAGGAGGCAGGTGGCAGCACCTATACTGCAGCGGAGGGTCCTAGAGAAAGGAAGTACGTGGCAGGGTGTTTGTGGTTTTGTGGGAGGAAATTTTAAAGCAGTCCCAGTTAGGAATAGCATCCGGGTAGCAGCAGGTACCTCATGCAAAGAGAGCTTTGTGACGCTTGTGAAAAAGCAACAAGAGGTTTTTCTTTAAAACCAGAAAACTATTTTACAAACACCTGGGGTAAGCAGAACAGCTCTGCAAGCTACTTTTTATCTGGGACAACATTTATGTGTTGTACACAAAACCTACAGGCCTTGATCCGTGTTCAGCTGAAAGATTTGCCGGCAAGGTGTTGTGGAATGGAGAGGCAATCACAGCATGCAGCTGCAAAGGAGCTTTGTTACAAGTTCTAGGTATGCTGTGGATTGACAATTAAATGAGCTCAAAAAGCATCTGCCTCAAATTGCTCACATCTCTGAAAATGCCATTTCTGCTGTTCTCTACTGGAATGTGAAATTCTACCGGTCCTGTTACATTCATTGAGAAGAACTTGGTGGAACTCAGGGGAAAGAATGAAGCATGCTGCTGGTTTCATTCATACAAAACATGAGCAATCACGGCTTGCAAGAAAAAAACAATGAAACCAAATCAGTCTTCTAGGTATGCTTTGGCTTTCAGCATGAAAATGTGCTTAAGTCTCCCTCAAAGATTTGTGGGAGCACTGATTATTACCAGGAAATAATAAAAGGGAAAGTTGCTGTCACTGTTACAGGCATTTGCAATTGCCTTTCGCAGATAGATTTGGACATGCCATACCATGGCTTGCTTGAAAAAAGAAGTGTTTGGGGGTGGTATTCAAGCTGGTGAACAGGATTGTTTAGAAATAGCATATTACATGGGTGTGGGAACTGCTATTTCCAAATCTATTAAACTTCCAAAGGATCTCTGGATCACTGTCACACACAAAACATTTATACAAATTCTATTTTAGTTAGAAAAATGTTGTTTCTTATTTTCTAAGTACTGTAGCCTCAATTTTTTTGCAAAGAGCACAGAGGAGGGACTTATTTGGTCTAAAATATTGCTAACATTAATTATGAAAGTTGGATCACAGAAAAACAAACCCAATATACATGCAAACAAAGATCCAAGCAAATCAGGTTTTCTCAGTATCTCTTGAGGTGCTATTTCACAACCTAATGCTCTCCAGCCTGCATAACTCCCCATAATATTCCACATACACTTGCTTCTCTTAGATCAAAATATGAATCATCCATAAAGCTGCACTGAACTTCCTCAGTGCCCCTTTCTGTCATCCAAGCATATTCCTTTCTAATACTTGGTCTCTCTCCAGACAAAACGAGGTATACATAACTTTTTAGGTAATATCTGCAAGAAAAGGCAGAATATTGAGTATGAATAGCTCCAAACCCCGAGCAGCCTGACTTAGGTTTCCGAAGAACAGCCTACTGGACTGCAGGACTGTACTGGTTCAGCTCAAACCTAAGTGTGGCAAAATTAAGTCACTCTGCACAGCTCTGGACTATGTTTTCAGACTTACACTATATATTCATTCCTAAATCCACCCCTTCTCTCTCAATTGCCATCATTTGTGTGTATTTCTAGTAAAGACACCATGCCTTTCTAGAGCCATTCTTTTGTTTGTTTCTCAATTCACCCTTTTTTGGCTTCAGATCCATTTTCTGTTAAATACATGTCTTATTTAAAACAGAATTGCATCTTCTTTCCTCATGTCTGTGGCCTGCGTGCAGCATTCTGTCCTTATTATAATTTGAAAATCTTTACTATCTTGCACAGTACATGAGTCTCCTTAACTTGCTGACTCCTTCCAGATCATTAACAGATTACTAACATGGAATTTTAACTCATGAGATACCCTAGGACATACCACTCAGTAAAAAGGATTTACTGGAATATATCATATAAAGCTGATTTACTTAGAGCATTTACATATATAGGTATCTACTGGATATGAAGGATAAATTATATGCCTACAATGAATTTCCTTTGTCACTTTACAACTCAAATCAGATTGGAAAGTACTGCATGATCAGTGGATAATGCATGGTGTCCCTTTTAAAAACGGTGGTTTTTATTTTATGTAGATGAATCCCAATTATTTGTGATTCATCTAACATGAAGAAAGACCATTTGTTATCCATTTTTTATTGTTAAGGAGCCAGCAAACATTAGAAGTCAGGAAGCTCCCACTGCCTCGGTAAAATGGCAGAGAACAGAAGGGGAGAGAACTTAAGGGAAGCGTGCTCAGTTGGATTAAAGCAACTGATGGCATAGAGAAAGTTCTTCAGTAAGCAAATGCCCTGAAGCATCTGGGTAGCAAAGGATTAGGGTCAGGGCACAAAAGTGAAACTATAACATACCCTCTGCACCAGAAACAGAATAATGTATTTTTAATACTGTTGCATGGATCAGTGCCCATGTGGAGCTTTTTAGCTTTATCTCAAGCTCCTATGCATCTCAAAGTGAGTACCTTGTAAAGAGCAGAACAAACAATCTGAAGAAACTATTTGTTAGAGCTCTAGTTTACTTGTCTGTTCTTGTCCCTCACTGACAAGCATCTATTTCATTCAAGCTGCTCTGGAATAAAAAGATTTGGGAATATTCAGGAATCAGAAATCTCTATAAATAATTTTAGTGTGTTAGTTTTTTTAAGGCTAAATACATAGCAGAAACAAAGAGATGTCAAAGAAACAAAAATAAAAGCATAGCTATACATATATTAGACACAACATGTCAGTTTATACATAAAACATTTGCCCACTTTTTTTCTCTGAAACAATAATGTCTATGACATTAATTAATAATAAAAAATTAATCCAAACCCACTAACCCACCAACTCAAACTGAGAAACATACTTTGAATTTCAGTGGTCTTTTTTAAAGAAGCTATTGCATTCATATTGGGGATTTGGTGAACAACATCTTCCGGGAGAGGCTCCAGCTGAAAGAATAGAATAGAATAATATAAATATTCAATAAGCCACAGAGACATAAAACAAACTGAAACAACCTAATCCTCAGGAAAAACTCAGCCCAAGAACTGGTTAACATTTTGCTGATATCAGTTCTAAATGTATAGCCATGATTTTGTTTTCTGTTTTCCAGCCATGTAATTGAATTCCAAGGGGCTTTTCTATTGGCTGCAAGACTAATCTATGGAGTCTCTGAAGCAGGTGCATGTCTGTGTATTATTCATTAAAAAAATGCTAGTTATTTGTGTAATTTTTGTAGGTTCCTCACAAACCAAATTCCACTGTGTCTGTATACGCAGCTGGGCACTCCAAACAAAACCTTGCTGAAGCCGCACTGGAACCAAAGCGTGCACTCTATTATCTTTATTTTTCTGGTGTTATTACATCTAACCATCTTACACATTTTAAGGTTTATAGGGGAAAACCATAAAACACAGCTGCTTTTACTAACTTTACATTAATTTCAAATAAAGCAGTAGATAAAAAAGGGTTATGCAGATCAACAGTAAGAGTTCTCTAAGTAAATTTTTTATAGAATCAGCTGCATTTTAATTAGTCAGTTTTAATTCCATATTCTTTGAGTAGGGCTGCATTAGCACAAAGTGTTCAGCTACCGCACAGTTATTTTTGTCCTGAAATGGATAGATATACCAAGCAAACTGTATTTTGAAATTCACTCACGTGAGATTTTTTTATCCACCTTCCACACATTTTCTCCTAGAAAAAGGTTAAAAAATTGTTTAGGCTAAATGTTTCTTCTTTCACTCTAATAACTATATTCTCCTTGAACTATCCAGCCACTTTTTCTGCTTCCCCACATAGGCTGCCATAGCTGAGTGTGCAGGCGTGCTTCCTGAGGAGTAGCAACTGTGTCAAGGTGGACCAAAAAGAGCATTATCAATACCAATCTCTCCTCTCTAAAGCTAAGAAAGTTCAACCACCGTTGACAGGAGACATCTGTACTGCAGACAAAACTCCTTTCTTAAGCATGCCTGGGTCTATTTTAAACTAGGTCAAGTGAAGCCCACCCAAGGAGCTTCCTCTGTGAAGTTAATAGTTCAGTAGCCATCATATATTGTCCTTCAGGTTGCTACTGCTGCTTTGCTACTCACCAACAAGATAAAATCAACTTTGATCCAAGCAAATAAAGTGGAAAGTAACTGCAGTGTGGATACTCCCTTAGTGGTGCTATTTTAAGCAAGCTCAGCTACAAATCCCAGAACTTCTGGGATCCTGCTGTTACAATCAGCAGTGAATGCCTGTCAGCAATAAAGACATTGCAAATATCACCAGTCTTTTGGAGTCTTGGTAACTAAAATGAACAGGACTGTTCATGTCATTATTGCCTTAGAAGCCCATATGGCATTGCAGCTGGAAGATTTTCTTATGGCTAGAAACAATAGCACTATGTTTTGTTTTCAAATAGCATAAATTATTCCATTCTGCACAGTGAACAAGTGTGCAGAGAAGTGCTGGTTGGACCTGACTGGGTCCCAGCTCTACTTTGTTACCAAAGAGGTCAACGTGCAAAGGAAGATTGTTGCTATCTAATATGCATCATGGATTAGAACAAAGACAGCAATTACAATACAAATAATATTTACAGATACATTTGCAATTCTTGAACCACATTTACTTTATGATCTTCATAGGTTACTCTATTTGGTAACTCTTGCAAGTGCCTGTGGGGAAACTCTGTATCTGCAAAAATGCCCACCAACAGATCAAGCTTTATAGATTTTAAACCAATGATCTATACCTTGATAAATAGCATTTGCTTTTTCACTAGTCATTTTCTGTTCAAAGTAATCTATCATTTGTCCAGGAAGAGTACAAAACCAAAGGTTTGTTTGGTTGTGTTGGGTACAGGAACACATAAGGGGAAGCAAAGAGTAGTTTAAGGTTCTGTTTTGACAATTTCCTAATTCCTAAGGCTTTGATGACCAATTCACTTCCCTGAAACAGAACAAAATAGCTCCAAGCTATAGCAGTAGGAATAATAGTAAAAGTTATGGAATTGCCAGACTGCAATATGTGAGAGCTGTGTCTTGCTTTTCCCTTTCAATACCTCGAGATTCTTTATGCAGACCTTTTGTACTAAGTATTTAGCTGGGAACAACTGATGCAGAGACAGTTAGAGGAGATTTTCTGGTAAAAGGTGGATATTTTATTGCCCTCTTTAGAGTAGGATTTTTGCAGGACCCAAAATAAAAAAAAAAAAAGGTTTGATATTTCTTAATCTATAAAACTCATCTCTTTATTTATCAGTATAGAAATAATTTTTTTAACAAGTAGGCTGCACTTGAATATCTAGACATATCAGGTGAGTATTTAGAAATGGCAGGTGTGTTTTTAGAAATCAGCATAAGTTGATGAATCCTTAAAGAAAGAGTAAAACATTCAACACTTCTCCCAAACATTACTCTGTCTGTTAGCTCTACTAACAGATTTGTAGGTGATGTGAGTATAATGGTTGTGTTTGATCATTTCCTCAACTCTTTTTTCCACAAAAATTTCATTTTGTATATCAAGCTTGGCTGAAGCAGATTCCTGAGCTATTCTGTCTCCTCACCCTTAAGGATAGCCCGACAGACCTAAGACCCTCTTTCATATCAGGGCAACTTTATCAGGCTCCACAAGAAAGTTCATTACATCATATACCCTGCTCAGCCCAAAATGCAGTACCATTACAAAAACACTGCAGAAATAAAGACAGTGGGTTATGGCAGCTATTTCTATACACTTTGAAATGAGACTGTCTGCATTCAAAAGAATGATTTCTGTTGGCAGTTATCCAATGGTTGGATACAACTGTATAGACGTAGAGGTGTCCCTGGAAAATATCAGCAGTTAGACCCAACACTGAACAAAAGAAATCACTCTACACCTGGCATATATGGCAGCATCACCTTCCCTCCTACTCTTACTGGCATTAGACCATGAAGTGTATTAAATCTGGAGGCTACCAGGAAGAAAGCTGAAAAGAGCACTGGAAATACATCATCAGGAAAGAAATCTTTCAGAGAAGAACAGCTCAAGTCTGCAGAAATAACCAAACCACTGTACAGGCAGTTTAGACCAGTCACAAAGGGTCACATTTCCAAAGCTTATATGTGGCTGAATTGGGCTTTTGTGCCCAAAGTAGCAGATGAAAGTAGAAACCGTGCCCACTAATCATTTTCAAAGGAGGAAAAACAATGTAAATGGGCAAAAATCACTTGGGCTGCCTAAATCTACCAGAGGCATATCAACAAATGTTTGAAGAAGGAATTAATGATGGAAATTTTATGTGCCCAAAAAGGGATCTGAATTGATCCTGGGGAACGCAGAGAGAATTTGAAACTACAGCAGTCTGTACTGAGCTGAAAATTCTAGCAATATCCACATGGTCCTTAGCACTGTCATGTTTTAAAGTATCAAGATTAGCTTCAGTGAAGATTGTTGGAGCTAGAGATTACTGACAAATGAGGGAAGTGCAAGCATAAGGTAAGAAGCATGGAGAGTCCTGCCAGAAGCAGAGAAAGGGGAGAAGGCAGACAGGCTCCTCAGGGATGCCAGGGCTGCAGGGGGAAGCACTACAACCACCCTCTTCTGGTTACATTGTGTAAAAAGCATATCAGCATATCAGCACAAAGACTGAGCTTTGTTGCTCTTAAAGTTGGCTATGATTACAGAGGACTAATTTAGAAGATCTCACAGGTCCTCCATATTATGTGTTCTTGTATAAGCAATCTTCTCAAAGTTACTGCACTCTCTGATTACACATAAAACACTTCAGGCGTAGTTTTGTGATCCAGTTACAATGCAGTATATAAACAAAACACGTTTCAGCAGGGAGTAAGTTCAAAAATACAACGGGTCATTAGTACCTATCAGTCCCTGAAAAACAAGTGGTGCCTTGGCATTATGTAACTTTGGAATCAAAATATTCTGTTTCCTCAGCCAAACCACTCACTGACTAGCACTGACCACCTCGGGAACTTCGATGTCACCATGCTGTCCTCTGGCACATACATTGCTCCAGTTTCCTATCCCATCGAAATCTTTCTTTCTATACTCTGGGTTTATGCCAGCAGCAGTTGACAGTTGCCTCAGACTCAGTTTTAATTATTTTCTACTATTAGACTCAGATTAACAATGAGGATGTGAGATTGTGAGAAAGTTTACCATGCAATTTAAAATTGATCTCAGACCATATTCACTTCCATGAATATTTCCATTTTGAAGAGAGGAATGCTTACCTGTTCTGGTAAATAACCCCTTTTAATGAAGTCCAGGACCTCTTGGCAGAGCTCGCTGCCTAGCTGGCAAGCAGCCCCAGATTCACACTGAATTCCACAAAGAAGAAAACGCCAACTTTTCATCATCAGCAGGAAAGCTGCAGAGTACGAGCTTTCCACTTAAATTACCATCCCCTCCTAAATGCCAGCTCAACAGATTGCAAGAAAGAAGCACATACTTCACACTCTGCAAGAAAATTGTCCGGTGTAAGTTTTCAAGCATGCTTGGGAGCCAACCAATCACAATGTTTTGTCAAATTCTGCTTCAGACTGAAATTCAAGCCAGAAGAATATTTACTAGAAGATGTTAAATTTAGTCACTTAGAAATGTTTTCACACTTAGGGCCAAATTCAGCGTTGGCCGCCACAGTCAATGAGAACAGACATGCATCCTCTCTGTGCCTTTGTTGCAGGGTCCCGCTGGGCAAAGCACACTGTGGACTGCACTTCTCTGCTTCCTCTGTGCAAAGAAGAGCACGACCCCGCCTGTGACTAATTATCACTTGTTATAGACCACAGCAAACTGCTGTACGACAGAGAGCTGAGACACTGCCCAAACCTAGAGGCAGACCAGAGGGACCATGATGCTAGACTGACTTGTGTGTCCCACGGAAATATCACACCTGGCTGCTTGAAAAGGGATGGGATGAAGAAAGAGCTAAATCCGTAGTTTTTGACACAAAGAGTTTTGTGTTTGAAGAAATCCTTCCTTAGTCTTTCTGGCTGCAGAAAAGCCCCTACCTGAATGCAGTTATGTTGGAAATAAGATGCAGGATTTAGCATACTGATCTCAAGGAAAACTTAAGCCCAAGGACTTTTTAGATCCAAATAATGACTCTTCAAAAGTAATGTGGAGGAAAGAAAGCAGAACCTACCCTTGCATGTCCAGAGAAGCCTCACTCACCACCACCTTGCACCAAAAGTCATAGCAGAGGTCTTATAGCACCAAAGCTAGGATCAACAAAATAGTGTGGAACTTCCACACTCTGTGACAAAGATTTTGGGGGAAAATCTCAATATTCAACCCAATTTTCACAAACCTCTTGGAATAAAATACAAATCTTAAAATTTAATGGTTTTCTTAATTGAAGTAATATGTATATCTATATACACTTTAAAATGAGTATTTAAAACTATATAACCAATCTCTGAAAAACTGTATATAAATGAAATAATTAATTTTAAGCACATATATCATAATCTCAGAAATGCTTATGTTTAAAAGCAATGTCTTTTTTGCAATTATCTGAAACTATCTTTTCCTTTGTTTTGACAGATGCTCTTTTAATGGACAAGTTCGCAAATCATGTTGAGAAAATTCAGGACTATTTTAAGGCAACTGATGCTCATCTTGCCTTTTCACCTTCCAGAAGGTTTTCCATGTTTACATTTTGGATTTCAAGGGAATCCAACTGCTTAATCTCTTCTCACCTCTTAGGAAGATTTCCTTCCAAGGAGATAACCTACAGTGCTCCTAATTAGCTCTGCAAATGGTCAAATGGATTTTTCTTGAAGTGACATGGAAATTTTCTGCTTGTAGACAGAAGCATGGAGAGAAAAACCTAAGATATCAAAATATTTTAAAAGTAATTTTATATGTAAGCATTATAATTAATAATTTATCTTTATAAAATTTATCCTTAACTTTAATTCTATAATTTCCTTTTTAATTTGCTCATTATTTAGGGAGGGAATCACACAACCAAACCAGATAGAGCCATTTCAGATACTATAGGGTGTCTTGCCCGCTTTCCAGCTGCTGATCGGAAAGGGTGTGGATCTCTTCTAAGTTCTACATTAATTCTATCAGTCTTCTCATGCTCCAATTATTTAAAGAAGATTAATTTGATAGGGCATTCTTTTCATAGTGTCTTCACTCACATTTTTTTAAGAGAAGATTGAAAAGTTGTCTTGCTAAAAAAATCACTAAGCTATAAGCCATACATAAATAAGAACAAAATTTATGTATTTTGGATGTCAAACTGTTTTCCTTCTTGGTGCTCAGAGAGAAATTAAGAAAGCATTTTGCACTTGAAAATTTGATATTACCTCTATATATCACACCAGTGCTCCATGAAAGTTGGAAGTTGTGGCTTGCTTTACCGTTCTTTTAAAAAATGTTATTCTACTGGTAATAGAACATATGACAGTGGATTTTTGTATTGACAAGTCCTGGCCAAAACCAACAAAACAAAAGAAAAAGTTTTCAAAAAGCTCTGCAAAATGTTTATGAATTCTAATCCTCAGCACATGAATAAATACATCTGACAAACTGCAGGGTACCTCACAAAGGCCTTTCCCAACCTTTCTAATTTGAGTTCAATTATATGTGTAGTGTTTAGAACTGAAGTTCATCTTGCCAATGTTTTTAAACTAGGGTTGCACTACATACCACTGTTTGTAAAAATGAAAGGCAGATAATAAGTTCTAATTATCCTATTAATCACCTGTAAAGAATTGCATTTAGGGAAGAATGCATCCACAAATTACAGTAATTTGTTGTTTAAAGAAAAAAAGTTTTTTTCTGTCCTGGGCAGAACATGCTTGGAATTTGCTGTGCAAGTTCATGAACAGTATGCTGAAATCAAGCAATGTATACGCTGTGGGCCATGTGGTGTATATTGCCATAAATCTATAGATGTCAACAGATGTGCTGATTTCTAACTAGGTATCAGACTTCCTCATTAATGTCTGCTCCTCGGCAACACCTTTACTTATTCTTTTAAGCCAATGACAGTTTCTTATGGTAGTCTTGGTAACAATGTCCTCTCTGGAGTACTTTTCTCTTCTTAGCAGCCACAGCATACTGTGTCTTTGAAATTATGCTGCACCAGACCATTTGATGCATGTCCCAGAGGAAAACGCTGTAAGAGCACATCAGAATAATGCTTATTCCATGAGATGTCTCAAGTTATTAAGGAACATGTTCTTTTACAAGTGAATTAAAAATGGCTGCATGGTTATTTCTGTCTTCATTCTCAGTTAGTGAATTTTTGTCTCTCCCAAAATTTACTTTGCTATATTTTGCAAACAGATAGACTCACAATTTATCTAATTTCCTGGTCTCTAATTACTCTAAAATGGAAGAAAATCTTTATTCCAGTACACTTATTCAGTTCCTTTTTCTCACAATCAGTATTTTTTCTTGGATAATTTCAGTGACAGCAGAAATAGTTGGGTGTGATATAGTGTTAAAACAAAATAAGGCAGTTTTCATAAATGGGTAGCACCACCAAATGGTCATAACTGGATAGAGGGACCCAGGCACCTACACATAGGAGGACACATCACATCATCAGCATCACACCATTTGCATTAGTCCCAAAAGGGTGCAAATTTCAAGGAATGAGTTTAGAAGGGCTATGAAAAGCCACTGATGTCATAAGTTACTCTCCTAGGGAAGATGACAACAGAAATATCAATAAGAGTGCTCTGGAATGGCAGCTAATCAGGAAGGCAATGCTGCATTAACTAAGACTGTCAAATGCCTCAAGCTGGGTTGCATAATCCATATTTCAGCTGAGCAGCTTTTTCAGTAGCACATAGCACCACAATGGAAAACTTTCCTTGTGGAGCTTGTCAAAGGTGGCAGTAGATAAAACCCAACAAAAGCTTTTTTTCTCCTTTTTTTTTTTCGGTGTTTACATTTCTGAATCTATCTTTGAAAAAGCTAACACTTTAGTCATTGTATGTGTAATGTAAAAAATAATAAGCATTAAAATATTGTTCTTGATGTGTCATAAAGATGAAAAGCAAAGGTTGAAAAGAACACTAAGAAAATCTTTCTAATCAACATCCATTAGAAGACATGTTATTTCACCTTATTCACATAGGTATGAAGTCTTGAACTGGAAGGGAACTGGCAGACTAGCTTGCAATTTGGCACTAATACATTTGATTGGATGGATTATATAGCTATTAACACTTCCCCAGAGGGGAAAAAAAGGTAACACACTGTACTTTATAACAAGATCTTGCAAAATTCACAATTTATGGTAAAGGCTTTTGTTCCTTCATAAATTATTTTGGCTGCACCTTTAGCAAGCTTGCTTTCCTTCTCAGCATATCTATAGGAGAAAAGCTATTTTCTAGTGGAAAGCAGAAAAAAATTCACTAATATGAATGCTTATCTTGCATTTGTGTACATAAATGGTACATACTCATATTTACTTAGTCTCATAGTCTCCTCTCAAAAGTTGTTAAGTAATATATACAGTGCCTGAAAAATCTTGGAAACTTCATTTAAACTACAGACAGATCAACTTGGATCTTCACTTTTAAGTTAATTTTTTTTTAATCTTCAACACATTTTTATTAATGTTTCAAAAGTTAGGTGTCAAAATACTGAAAAAAAAGTGCCTTTGCAATATCCAGTTCCTAAGATTACCAGATACTTTGCAAAAGACTTTTTTTTTCCACAATAGATGGCTTAAAGGTCCATTCCGAATAGATAATATGCACACCAATGACTAACAATGATGTCAAGTCTTGTATTCAGCACATCACTAAAAGCAATTTGGAGGTATTAAATATTACTCAGAACTGGGAATAATTTAGGCATATACTAAAGGATTTGTATAAAAATCCAATTTAGAGGTATTTATCCAAACCAGCTCATTTGAGGTCTGCTCATTTCTAAGACATGTTCAAATTCCATGGTTTTTATGTCAAATGAAAAAAAGACTGACACCATTGTTACTAAAACAATATCAAAGATAGCAGCTTCAGCAAACTTGGATCATTCTCTCCACCTAGTATGATTTATGTTTTACCTCATTTCCTAAAAGGGCGTTTATACAGGCTTCAGATGCATCACAGATGGCAGTAAGGTCATGTCCTCCCTCCAGTGCCAGCACAACACGGCCATCCGCTAACTTCAGCAATTGCTTGGTTAGGTGACCAAAACCTAGTATTCAAATACAGTAGTGCAAATAATTAAAGCAGAATAGATATTACAGGCATATTTCACATCTGGTGCACGAGAACGCAGAAGGCTCTCAAATATTGTACAGGGAGCATAGGATTTACTTAGTCCAGTATCCTGTTTCTGACCATGGCCCACACCAGATGGTTTGGAGGCAGATGTGAGATAATGTCACTCATGCTGATCCCTCATTGCTGGAGATTAGTTGAAACATGTGGTTGTCTCTCTTCTTACCTTCGTTAACCATTATCACCCTGGATTCTCTTGCTATTTGCATATGTGTGACATATACCTATGTCATTAGAGAGATCTGATATAACTCTGGTCACTTATCATCGATAGGACAAATTATATTTGTAGTTCAACTATAGTGCTATAACTAAAAATAATTGTTTTTTTTTAAAATGAGATGATGAAATATTTTTTTTATTTACAAATTGCTTCTTCCTTTGTATTTGGGGTTTCAGAATATAAAACCATGGACTGAAAGATAGCGGAAACATATGTTACCTCTTAGCTCCATCTTGAAGTGTTTTTGGAAGCAGCACTAACAACTAGATCACTTATTTTGATTCGAGGTTTTGGTGTAAGTTGAAACTGTCCAGAACTTTGTAGCTATCTCTACCAGTATTCCTCATTCCTGACCAACAGTGTTCTAAGAAACTCTGCACCATAGCCAAAAATGATAGTACTTCATTTTCTGTGGTGATCTATAACTACACAAACACTACCACAAAGTCTTCATCTGTGATTCAAGTAAAATTAATTTATTACATATTTAATGACAAGAAAAATTGCATGAAATATGTCGATTTGGAGTGAAGATTTTTGAAAGAATTTTTGTGGTAGTTTCCTAGGACAGCTATTGTTTTTGCTTAATCTCTTTTAAGCAAGTAATGATAAATAAAGCTTTGAAGCTATTGACTTTAAATAAACATCACATCTTGTTCTTAACTTTTCCACTTAGTCTGTACTAGTTGCTCTACTGATGGTCATCCCTACTCATTCCAGTGCATTTCAAACCCTTATATAAAGCACTTAGAAGGTACCTGCTAAAGCCTGGGCTTCTATAAAGACAGAAAAACCCACATCTTTTTACTACATTCCAGTGAAGAAGGCCATTGAAAATTAAAAACTTTAAAAATTACAAGTATATTTTCCAGCAAATTTCCCAAGACACAGATTTAAGGCTTGATCTGGCAAACAAGCAATCTCATGTTTAATTTAGTTTACATTTTAGGACTTTGTTAAGCATACATCCAACTGTTTTTAGAACAGGGACTTTAGTGATACCAGATTTGGATTATCTGTGCAGACAAAAAAACCCAAACCAACAAAACCTCCTCTACTTGCCACTTCATCTATAGATGATCACAGAACACTTGAGGTGAAATATTGTTTCCTTGAGCCACTGCACAATCTTCTATACCCTGTAAGTACTGCAGTCTTGATTCTAGCAAAGTAACTACACTGTGGTTTAAATTACATAAAGGGTTGAAAAACAAATAAAACCTTAAACTCTCATTTAAACTCAACCTTTCCTCATGAAACAAAAAAAAAATCAACAACCGCCAAAACCAAAAAAACCCCCACCCAATCCTCTCTACAAAAACCCAAATTTAGACAGGATAATAAAAGTGAAGGAAGGAGTGGAATGAGGATAACCTTTGATCTTTAGCCAACTTCTAGTTTCTTTTACCTATAGGATTTATTTCTGTCTGCATGTTACACATGAGATCTGTGGGTTCATAAGAAGAGAGTGCCAAGATTGCAAAGCGAGTCGTAGATACAGCATTTAAAGGAAATGAAGAAGAATGAACAGGCACAGGCTCCCCACATCTGTAACTCACTCTTTGGGTCTGTGAGGAATCCAACACCACTTTTAAGACAACATTATCCTTTGTGTTATACAGATTCTATGAAGGGAAAGCTCTATCACGTTTCCTCTGCACATTTTGAAAATTTTTTATGACGGCAAATATTGCTACCACCACATTGTAATCTTCTGAGGTATATGTGGCAATAAATGTAAAGACTCTTGCTATGCCTTTTTCTCCTTTTAGACAACCACACATAGCATAACACATAGACATTGTTACAATATTAGTTTGTCTACTTGGTTTCCTAATGTTTTTCCTAGTATTAATGCTATAATAATCATCCCTGACTGAATCAGGATGCAATGAGCCATACAGAAAGCATCTTTCCTAATAAAGATCACGGTAACAAGAAAAAGTGTTTCCAAGCCAAATTAAGATGATGGGGCCTTTCTTCAGTGTATTTACCCTGAGAAAGTAAAGGTGACTTGCTAGAAAGTGAGGAAATAACTTTAGCCAACAGTACCAACATTGCAGGTGACTGAATGAGTTATGGAAATTCTTAATAAAGAAACTTGGATCTTGTGTCACTGCAGCAACCTAGGAAAGATAATAAGTTTCTCAAGGAAATCCCCTGGAGTGCAGAAGTAAGAAAATGGAAAGAAAGGAATCTCAGTCAAATAATAGTTTTAAGATGGGCTGTAGTTCATGCCAAATAATTAAGGAAAACAAGAAGAAAATAGTAACAAGCACCATTAAAAGAATCCATTATCTCCCCTGATATAAAGAGATCAAACACTGGCCAAGTCTAAGGTGAGAAAGGAGTCAGATAAGCATTTTGAGTCCTGGATCTTTCAACTCTCATGAATTTCTAGAAATCAGCGGCAGTTCTTGGCACTTCTACTGTGTCTGCTGAAATCTTCTTGTAAATGTGCTCAGTGACTTTGTACTTCAGAGAAGTAGCAGCATTTTTTAAAATTAGGCTCATGCAGTGTGACAGGAAATTGTGAGAATGGTTTTATGCCAACTATTATTTTCATAATTTCTGTAATTTAAAAGTACCTGTTTCCTTCACAGATCACATATTTAGATATTCAGGGTATAACTTTGCAAAAGCACTTAACATTCATTTGCCATGATCCTATTAAATATTATGATTAAACTTTGATTTCCACAAGAAACAACATTAAAACACTACTAAGTAATTCTGAAATTCCCACTCACCAACTGTTTTATATTTTTTGGACAAAAAACCTGTGGGTGTACAACTGTCATTCAAGCAAAGACTAGATTAAAACTGTAACCATTTTAAATATGTTATGCACTAGAGACATAAATAACAGTATATGACCTGTTATTTGCCCTCAAAGTAAAAATATAAACTTTCAAAACAAAAGTAACACGCAATTTTTAATTATACCCTTTCTCCTCTTCCAGTGCTATTATTGGAGGAGATACAATATTCAGACTTATGGAAGAAAATATTCTATTGCAGAAAGGCAGGAAGAGAGAAAATTAATATTGTATTATACTACTGAGCAAGATGTCAGGCTGTTATTGAAGGACACAGTGTGATAATCACTTGAATTACCATCTAAGCAAGTCATTCATCTTTTAGTGGACTGATGCCCCAGTAAGGACTCTGGGGTTTTTTGTTGTTTACAACAGACAAAGTCCCCACACACTCTTTGTAGTTCTGCCAAGCAGCAAGGAATGGCAAGGGTGAGGCTTCTGCCTCATTTGACCAAAGTCACTGGAGCAACTGTACTCTACCTGTTCTTACTGAAAACCAAGAAAAGATGTTTAAAAAGATAATCCAGAGTTATTTCAGTTTTCTTTTGTTGTTTTCGAGGTACCTGAAATGGAAAGGGGGAAACAGAAGGTAGATAAAACACCTCTTATCTGGGTCAGCTCCCCTCCAACAGACTCATTACACAACCATGTGTTGTGTTACGGCTAGATGAAGTGAAGCTAACAAGTCAGAGTTTGTATGTACAGCCTCCCATTTTGTAAAAGAAACATTTGAGAATGAAGACAACTTGTGAATGTTATTCTTTTCACATCCTTTCCTCAGCAGCCAGGGAAAGGAACCATATGGATGGGGTGCACTCCCAGCCAGCACCACAGCACTCCGTGTTTGCATAAACAGTCATATATGCAACTCAATTTGCTCGCCAGCAAATGTGCAAACACCCAGTTCGTGGGGACTAAACCTGCCTCAGCAGAAAAGAGACTCCTTCCCTCTCCACCACTGTGCATAAGGAGAGCAGATGTCTCCTGCACAGTCATTCTTTGGGTGATGGCAGGCTGAACAAAGCCGTGGTGCTGGCCCTTGCTCATTGGAGGCGGCTGGTGAAGGAACGAGGACACATCAACAATCGAAAGGCTGGCGAAGCTTTAGAGGTATGGAGAAAGCCTCAGCTTTCTCAGCCTCAAGAGCAGGGCCCCAACAGCTCTTTTGGCTTCAGTATCTTAAAAGCTACAACCCAACCCTAAATTACAGGCAGTTCTGGTGAGCTCCTCTGGATACTTGGAGCAGCCTGGAGAGGAATACATGCAAAACACAAAAACTCCACAGTCTCTGTCCTGGACCTCCAAGCATGTATTTAACTATTATTTACCATTTAATCATGTCATTACTCGCTAATTTACTTGAGAATGTGTTTTCCTCTCATTAAAACTGTTGCAATGATCTCTGCCAAAAGTCTACCCACCAGTGTTCTGTGCTCCTTCCCTGTGGTTCCTTCGTGACTATTTGATTAATTTTCATTGATATTCTTCCAACAATAGCATCTAAAATTAACTGGGTCAGTTTTTACATAACTTCCTGACTCACTAGGGTACGTGTCCTAAATAAATATGTCCATACAGGAGTCAAATGACCCTTCCAGCACTAGCAGGAGCTGGGACTTTTTGCAAAGCTTGTGTTCTATGATAAGAGAACACATTTTATTCTCAACTCTTAATTTAGGACCTTTTATTCAGTCAAAACTTCATTTGGATTAAGTCAGAGGTTTGACTCAGTTGGCTGGATGTGGCCTTGAGTGAGGGGGAAAGGGAGATTTTAATGCCAAATACATTCTTATGAAAAACATTTTCCAAATGGCTGAAATTACAAATGTTAGTGTTGAGGTACCTGAATTTAAATGGTACATTTGGCCTCCA